TCGGCCACTGTAACATTCGCTATAAAGCTGACATTAGCAGCGTTGAACTGATGAATTCGAACAATATAGCCAAGAGTCTAGCACCACTTGACTCCAGGCATTCTGCATGGCCATCAGGTATTGTACCACAGATACACGCTAGGTCTTGATATTGCTATTGAAGAAGTCCTTTGCTGCCGTAACGACGTAACATCAGTACAATGCAATAAATGTTACGCATTATATATACTTCCATGGTACAGGCATCATGTCGGTTTAACCTGAGTTGTGTCTGCAGTGTTAAATCCACTTTTGTAGCAGTCTCATGATTAATACATTTGTATTTGTATGATTTGACAAGCTACGTTCAAACGTTTCTCTATGAACCACAAACACTGTAACAAAAATTACGAAAATTACCCCTCCACCCCATTGTCAACCTGCGTGAAATTCACCACGTCTCCGCAACCGGAGCCGCTGCCCCCTGACAACTTCCCGCTCTTTCAATTCAGCCGCTTCCCTTTGCCGCAACACCGTTTTTCCCGCTCGCCCCCATCTCGTCGATCGCCTCTTCATGCTTCTTCGAGCGCTCATCTCCGGAAAACTGATGGGAGCAGCTCTTGGAGGTGATGCTGCAACACCGACCTGATGCCGAAATCCTCTACTGACCCTGCTCGCACAGTCGGAACCTTATCAATGTTGACGTGGACGGTTTACCAGCTACTGTACCCAATGACACAGGCGCACACGTGTCTATCATGAACGCTGACCTTAGCACACGGATTGAAGAAAGTCCTTACGCCTGGTACAACTCCTGTGGTTCGAGCTGCCGATGGCAGAACAGTCACCGTGATTGGTGTGTGCTCAGCTCGCGTCAGCGTCGGCGGACATCATATATCAGTACTGTTTTATGTTGCAGAACATTGCCCTCACGACATAACCTTGGGCGACGAATTTTTGTCAAAACATTCAGCCTTGATAGACTGTTTTTCTGGTACAGTGCAACTCGCTCTAGCTACTGTTGTTGTTCCGCCTAGTTGCCCTCCAAGTCGGCTCTGTTGCGCAGAACACCTGCGTCCCCCTCAATCAACAGTTGCCTACATAGGCGTCTCCCCTGTTCCACCTGTCCCGGATGGTGTTCATATCGTGACCCTCAATGTTGACGTTCTGCTTTCGCACAACGTTGCGCTTCCTCACGCCGTCATCGCTAGAACGGTGAACGCATCCTGCCCAGCACTAGTGAATTTCGGCTTATGTACACAGGTTCTCCCTCGTGGTATATCTCTCGCTGAAATCATGCCGGTGACAGAGTGCCATATTTGCACTCTATGTTATGACAGTATCCCGAGTGCAGAGGAAACTTTTCCTACTCCCCTATCAGACCAAAGTGTTTTAACCAAGATGATTGCACCCGACTTACCAACCGAACATGCTAACGACCTGCGCTCCCTCCTTGCATCTTTTCTGGACATCTTCGCCCTTGGCGACCGCCCCCTCGGCCAGACGTATGTTGTTAAGCACCGGATTGATCAGGCGATACAAGTCTCATCAATCGACGACCCTACCGCGATGCCCATGCTGAGCAGTGCATCATCCAACAGGAGGTCAACAAAATGCTTTCGTGGAATACCATCAAGCCTTCCTGCAGTCTATGAGCGTCCCATGTTCTACTTTCTAAGAAGGACAACAGCTGGATATTTTGTGTCGATTATTGGCATTTACAGAAGACCACGAAAAAGGACGTATATCCTTTGCCACGCAAAGACGATGCCCTGGGTTGCTTCACGGTGCAAAATATTTTTCTTCAATTGACATTCTTTCCGGGTATTGACAAATTGCCGTTGATGACATGGACTATAAGAAGACGGCATTTATCACTCACGACGGCCTTTACCTGTTTAAAGTGATGCCATTCGGTTTATGCAATGTGGCCGCCACGCTCGAATGTAGGATGAACGCCCTCCTGCACAGCTTCAAGTGGTCCATCTGCCTGTGCTACCTGAACAGCGTCATCGTTTTTTCTCCTTCTTTTCCGACGCATTACGAAAAGCTATTGAAAATCTTATCTGTATTTCGTGCAGTGGAACTGCAACTGAATTCAGCAAAGTGCCACTTCGGCTGCTGTGAAATTTCTGTGCTCGGGCATCTCGTTGATTCTGTAGGGGTACGACGTGATTAAGATGAACTACGGGTAGTAAAAGATTTCCCTGTACCAATCTGTACCAAAGACGTTCGCAGTTTTTTAGGCCTCTGTTCTTACTTCCATGGCTTTGTTAACAACTTCGCCGACGTCGCACACCCTGTCACTTAACTCCTCAAAGAAGACTCTGGCTTCATCTTGGGCACTGAGCTGGCAGATTCGTTCCGAAATATAGTGTGGCTGCTTACTTCTCCTCCTATCCTCGCTCACTCTGACGTTTCAGCTCCAACAGAAGTTCCTACCGACTCAAGTGACTAGGGCATCGGTGCAGTCCTGACCCAGATACAACAAGGACACGACTGTGTTGTTGCCTATGCCAGCCACCTACTATCGCCTCCTGAGAGAAAATATTCAAGTACTGGACGCGAATGTTCGGCACTTGTTTGGTAGTCGGGAAATGTCGTACCTATTTGTATGGTCGGCCATTCCTAGTCATCTCTAATACCCACGCCTTCTGTTGGCTTTCGCCCCTGAAAGACCCGTCAGGCCGTCTTGGCCATTGGGCGCTGCGCCTTCAGGAATTTCACTACTCAGTCCTGTAAAAAACTGGCTGCTTGCATCAAGATGCCGACTGCTTGTCCCGATATCCTGTGGACCCACCCGCCAGACAGTGACTCCTCTACACTTTTTGCTGCCGACGTTCTCTGACTGCTTTTCCCGACATTGGAATCGAGCAGTGACAGGATACCTTCTTGGAAGGTATTATCCGAACGGTAACGTCTGTGACGCCCCACTTTTCCTTTCTAATGTTTGAGTTACATGATGGTGTATTGTACCGTTGCAATATGCGTCCTGGCAGTCCCGAAAGACTACTCGCCATCCCCCTTCCATTGCGTCAAGCTGTTCTCACCCAGCAGCTTCATGATGCACCGATAACCAGTCACCTCGGCGTGTCACGGACTTACGACAGTGTTGGCCGGTGCTTCTTCTGCCCTGGCATGTACCGCGACGTCTGCTGTTATGTTGGAGCCTGCGACCCTTGTCAACGACGAACAAAAACCAAATACCCCTCCTGCCGGATACCTTCAGCCACTGGATATCCCAAGAGACCCATTCAACCGTGTTGGCGTGGACCTGCTTGACCCTTTTCCTGCGTCAGCTGCGGGCAATCGGTGGACTGAAGCAGCAAACGATTAGGCAACCCGATACACGATCCCACGGGCGCTTCCAACCAGCTGTGGCCAATTTTGTTTTGGAGGACGTCATCCTACACCACGGCGCCCCTCGGCAACTCCTTACCGACCGGGGCAGCTACATCCTTTCCAAAGTAGTTAATGACCACCTCCTCTCCTGTGCCACAGCACACAAGCTCTCGCCTGCTATGCCATCCACAAACAAATGTTCTAACGAAGCGCTTCGATCGCACTCTTACTGACATGCTCACCGTGTATGTCTCCCCAGACCACCGTGACTGGGACACTGCGTTACCGTTTGTTACATTTTTCTACAATTCCTCTAGACACGACACCGCTGAGCTCTCTCCTTTTTTTCTGTTGTTCGGCCGTGACCCTGCGCAACCTTTTGACACGCTTCTTCCGACCGGACTAAATTACACGTGTGAGTAGGCTCGGGATGCAATAACGAAGGCCCATGCGGCGCGCCAAGTTGCGCGACGATGACTACTGAACTCCCTGGACGATTCGGAGAACGCATATGACACTCGCGATCGTTACATATACTCCCCACCCCACTATCGCATTCTGCTTTGGTTTGCCTCGCGCCACATTGCACTTCCGGAAACGTTGCTTCTGTAGCGGGCGCTGACGCTGGTGATCGCGATAATTTTATTTGTGTGCGCATACCGATTCGTATGACGAGGCGCACTGCGCAGACGCGGCCAACATGCCTCACGTTATCTCCGGAGGGCTGCGGAAGATACGCAGCCTCGCCCCTTTTTGGTTGTCGCTTTCGAAGCCTGTTTTTCTTGGAAACTAACTAGTCTTGTCCCAAACTTCAAGGAGTGTAGGTGCCTTCTTTTCGCGCCTCCGTGGGGCGAGTACGCTACAAAGTGGTGATCCGGACGTATGGAAAAACAGCGGCCATGTCAGACGAGGAAGGGGCACTTTAAGCTCACCCACAACCAATGCCTCGGAGTTAAAGCTTCCTTAATTCTGGCCCGAAAACCCCAGGGTGTGGTTCAGCGAAATCGAGGCCCGCTTAGAGCTTAGACGCATCACATCGCAGCAGTCGGAATACCTGCACGTCGTTCCAGCACTGCCACCTGACATCGCTGACGCCATAGACGATGTGCTCGCCTCCACTCCGTCGGAGACGCCCTACGACAAACTAAAAAGCGCCGTCCTGAAACGTCTTGAAGTGTCCGAACAGAGCAGGCTGCAACAACTCCTGTCTCATGAAGAGCTCGGTGACCAGCGTCCCTCACAACTACTCCACCGAATGCGTCAGCTACTGGGCCAACAAGCGTCAGAGGAGCATCAGCATCCATTTCTTCGCGAGCTGTTTTTGCAGAACTGCCACAGTCAACACGTATGATACTCGCTGGCTTGGATGACGTGACTCTCGAACGTCTGGCTCAACTCGCCGACCGAATCACCGACTGTACTGAGCCACCAAAAATGTCTACTGCTGCAACGGGAAGGCCCGAAAATGCAGACTGGTTAGGTCGCTTAGAGGACAGAGTTGACCGACTGGCTGCAGCAGTTGAAAACCTCGCCCTGTCCAACAAACACCGTCCTGCACGACATCGTTCGCCGTCGCGTGCTTGAAGCTCGCAGCACCATGGACATTCAAGCGAGGCAGAGGAGAACATCTGCTGGTACCACCGTCGTTTCAGAGAGCAAGCCACTTGCTGCACCCACCCATGCTCGTGGACGGGAAACGCACCGGCCAGTCGCTAACGGTGGAAAGCGACACGGGCCATAGCTCAAGCCACCTCTTCTTCGTTGTTGACCGCATCACCAGCACACGCCTCCTTGTCGATACCGGAGCGGAGCTATCTAACCTGCCAGCAGCAGCTCAACATCGCCGCGGCGGCAAGCCCATTTCGAGCCCAATTGCAGTCAATAATACTGCTATTGCATCATATGGAGTCCAGTCAATGACGATAGACATCAGACTCAGGCGTACATATCGATGGCTGTTCGTTGTGGCCGACATCGGAATTGCCATCCTGGGAGCGGACTTTTTGAGCCACTTCAAGCTTGACGTCAACGTTCGCGATCGTCGTCTCAAGGATAACGTCACTTCACTCGCTGTTATCGGACTGAAGTCTGACCTGTCCTCATGCGGCGTTTGTACTTTCAACCCAGAGTCAAACTTTCAAAAGATTCTGGCTGAATTCCCTCAAATCACCAGACCTCGGAACACCGAACTGCCAATCAAACACGAGGTGACGCATCACATTGTCACCACCGGACCACCCGTCACCGCTAGACCTAAAAGACTCGCTGGACAAAGACACGAAATTGCCCGCTGTGAGTTCAACCACATGCTCCAACTCGGCATTATTCGACCTTCTTCCAGCAACTGGTCTTCCGTGCTGCACATGGTGCCAAAAGAAGAGTCTGGTGACTGGTGGCCTTGTGGTGATTATCCGGCACTGTATGCTGTGACAACGGCAGACCAATACCCTCTCCCCATATCCATGATTTCAGCGCTCACCTCGCGGGAACGACCATCTTCACTAAGCTGGATCTGATGGCCGCTTATCACCAGATTCCAGTAGAACTAAGCGACATCCCAAAGACGGCCCGGCCCTGACAACGCCTTTCGGCCTCTTTGAGTTTGTTCGTATGCCGTGCAGACTGAAGAACGTGGCACAAACTTTCCAGCGTTTCATGAATTAGGTCACTCGCTGACTGCTCTTTTTTTGTCGACTTAGACGTTATTTTTGTTGCCAGAAAAACGCCGGAGGAGCATGAAAATCCCCTGCGCCTCCTCTTCAAGCGTCTTGACGAGCACGGTCTGGTTTTGAAACCCCAAAAGTGCATCTTTGGTGTTGAAGCACTAGATTTCCTAGGTCATCGAATCAGCCCGTAAGGCATCTTGCCGCTCGAGTCACGGGTGCAAGCAGTCAGGAATTTCCCCACGCCTACCTCGTTCCGCAAGTCGCGCGAGTTTCTCGGACTCATAAACTTTCATAGGCGCTTCATCTCATCCTGTGCATACATTCTACAACCGATAGCTGACTTGCTGCACCGGAACGGCAAGAAAAAGCCCGAGTTTCACTGGTCAGCGGAGCACGAAAAAGCCTTCCAGGACGCGAAAACTCAGCTTGCCTTCACAACACTTCTGATGCACCCACTTTCTGACGCGCCAACGCGGCTCATGGTTGACGCTTCAACGACGGCAGTGGGAGCAGTGATGCAACAATACGACGGCAAGGACTGGAAACCGATAGGTTTCTTTTCTAAACCTCTAAAAACGGGCGTAAGTGCGCTACAGCTCCTTTGAAAGAGAGATGCTGGCCATTTATTCCTCCGTAAAGCATTTCCATTTCTTCCTAGAAGGCCGCATTTTCCACATTTTAACGGACCACAAGTCGCTGACTTATGCGTTCAAGAACAACAGTTCCTCATATTTGGAAAGAGAACTGCGCCAACTTTCTTTAATTTCCGAATTTTCCACTGACATCCGCCACATAGCGGGGAGTGAAAACCAAGCAGCCGTCAACTGAAGGCATCTTTAACGGCTAAATTGGATAAAAAGAACTGGGTGGAGAAGCTCCCTCTCGTTCTTCTGGGCCTGCGTACGGCGATAAAAGAAGACCTCGGATTCTGTGCAGCAGAAATGCTGTACAGCTCTACAATCCGACTACCATTTGGGTGCACGTTAAGGAACCCCAGGTGGTCGAAATTTCCGGAGCCCTCCACTACGGCGTCTCTCATAATCATGAAGTGGTTTTGGGACGTTAAACCCCACATATAAATCAATCAATCAACAATCCGGCTACCGGGAGAATTCTTCGGTGAGAAACCAAACGCTACGCCGACGCCTTCAGAACATATGGAAAGGCTACATTCCTGGTTGGAGCCCCTGCAACCCAGCGCGCCACGCGTCAGCCGCAACCAAAGAGTGTTTCCTTTTCCAGACTTGAATGAGGCAACCCATGTGTTCGTGCGACGTGACACTGTGAAAGCACCGTTCACTCCGGCGTACGACGGGCCCTTCCGTGCGCTTTCGCGCTCGCACAAAACTGTGACCATTCGGGTTTGCGACACAGAGGACGTCGTTTCTCTCGATCGCGTGAAACCGGATCACCTCATGGACTAACTCGCTCATTTGCTCGTTTTTTTCGCAGGCTCCGCGGTCTAGGGGCGGACCTCTTGTAGCGGGCGATAACGCCGGTGATCGCGATAATTTTATTTGTGGGCGAATACCAATTCGTGTGCCGAGGCGCACGGCGCAGACGCGGCCAACATGCCTCACGTTATCTGCGGAGGGCTGCGGAAGATACGCAGCCACGCCCCTTTTAATTGTCACTTTCAAAGCCTGTTTTTCTTGGAAAATAAACTAGTATTGTCCCAAACTTCAAGGAGTGTAGGTGCCTCCTTTTCGCGCCTCCGTGGGGCGAGTGCGCTACATTCCCTTGCTACTCAGGTCCCTACGACATCTTAGGCCAAGGAACTGACACAATCTACGAAATCACCCCTACGGGCCCCGCCATTACTCACCCTCACACTGACATAGTACATGTTACGCAACTCAAGCGTTATAACTCAGGTGCCTCTTGATTAGCACCTGGTCGGTGCTCCAGCCAGCGGGGAAATTATGTAACGGTCGGACAAGAACGATGAAGAGGACAGGAAGACAGACGATGTGGACAGACGCAGCTGGGTGCCATCTTGTCCACCACCGAGTTATATATATAATATATATATATATATATATAAGGGAAAGAAGTGTATACCTAAGGGCGCGTTTTTTCCGTGTTTTAACACAATATTAATGAGATCTAGCAAACAGTAATGCCAAGGAATGCACCGGGGAAGTTATTAGAACAATGGAATGTAAATAAGAAGAAAGAAAAAAGAAAAGTGGATGAAAAAATAACCAGCCGTGAGCAGGAATCGAACCTACGACCTATCCCGCAGGGGCGCCTGCGCCAGTAGGCGTTTGGTGTGTAGCGACACCACGGACCCGAGCTAACGGGGGAGTTTCGGCTCCCTCCCACGCCTAGCCGTGCGTGGCTTTGCCGTGTCCGGGGAAAAGAGGATCCTGGGGGTTGAGCTGACACTGGGTGATTGGATCTTTAAGGCCCCCCGGCAGAGGCAACACACCCCTTTGGCCCCGGCTTCACGTAGACGGCACCCCTGGGCTGACCCACCCAGGGGAAATCGGCAGTCGCCTTTTCCTATCTCTCTCTCCCTACATCTTCGTCTTTTGTTCTCACTTTACATCTTTCCTGTCTTCTCCTCACTTCATTTTACTTCCAATTTTTCCTGACGGCAAGGGTTAACCTAGTGTAAATATCCAACCTTGGGTTATTTGGTTATAGCGGCCATGTACGGCTGGCGCCTGCGCCTCCTTCGTGTCTCGCAGCGTCCCCTTGTTGGGCTCGGTGGTGGGTGGCTGGCATGGCCGCCGAATAAGCTATCAAATTTATGGGAACCCCTAGCCCTCTTACAACTAATCGCCCCTCCAAGAGGTGGCGCACCGATGCAATGTTTGAGTTTGTTCCAAACAAAAAAAGATAACTTCTCCAAATACCACATAATTCACTGTGAAAGTACAGAAAAGAAAGCTAGAAGTATTTCACCTTTCCTTGTGTCCAAATGTCTCATAGAAACGCTGGGCGCAGGCTACAAGGCCACAAAGACTGCCAGTGGTGGCCTGTTACTTGAATTAAAAGACAACGCACAGTACCAGAGACTACATAAACTCACAGCATTTGGGGATCAGCCTATCACAATCACACCGCGTCGAACCATGAACACAGTGAAGGGTGTTGTATCACATGGAGACCTGATGGACCTCTCTGATGATGAACTTCTAACAGGCTGAAAAGAGGAAAACGTCATTCAGGTGCAGCGTATCGAAATAAGAAGAGAAAATAAGGAACTTCCAACGAAGCACATCATACTAACTTTCGCATCTAGCACCCTCCCCACTGAAATAGCAACAGGGTATCTTAAACTGCCAGTTAGACAATACATACCCAACCCGCGGCGCAGCTCTAAGTGTCAGAAGTTCGGGCACGGCTCCCAGAGCTGCCGAGGACAGCTTACTTGCGCGAAATGCGGCACCAAAGGTCATACCGCTGACGATGACTGTCAGCTACAAGTCCACTGTCCAAACTGTGAGGGTGACCATCCTGCATATTCCAGGTCATGCGTGGCCTGGAAAATGGAAAAAGAAATTCTTAATACAAAGTTTAAATTGAACATAAGCTTCCGTGAAGCGCGGCAGCGCGTTTCCCCGCATTTTGCTGGGAACACATCGTATGCCGAAGTGGTGCGATGGGGGTCAGCACCACTTCGGTTTTTGGCAATGCCTTGGACCACGCCCAGCGTGCCGAGGCAAACGCCACAAGCCCCCATGGGGGGAGCAGCCTCGGCTGCCCCACCCTCCTTGAATACAGCCCCACCGAATGTCTCTGTGAACCTTGGCAGCAGCCAGAGACCACACAAACTAAAGAGGTCCCCTCGACCTCCAGCCCGGTGGGGTTTAAGGCTCCGTCTGGCACGACGAAGCCTTCAACGAAAACAACATTATCTGTCGTCTCTCCTGAGGCGATGGACACATCAACTGCACCGGCGCAGACTGCGACAAAGGAGAGGCGGGGTTCCCTCGACCGCTCTAAAAAAGAAAAAACGGTAATTACAGGGCCTTCTAAAGGCTCTGTAAGATAAGTCACTTCTCTCTTTAGACACCAGCCACACTCATTTCGTACACACAGCACTTCTTTACTCCCATAATGGAGACACAAATTATACAATGGAACGTCAGAGGACTACTTCGAAACCTCGACGATGTCCAAGAACTTCTACACAAACATTCTCCAAAAGTGCTGTGTGTACAGCAAACACACTTAAAATCCAAGAATACAAATTTTTTGCGTCAATATGTTGTCTTCCGAAAGGACAGAGATGATGCTGTGGCGTCATCTGGTGGTGTAGCCATAATAGTTAATCGAGGAGTAGTATGCAGTCATCTACCACTACTGACATCCCTAGAGGCAGTGGCTGTTCGAGCAGTTCTATTGAATAAGCTCGTCACCATCTGCTCTCTATACGTACCGCCGCAACACTGCCTGGAAAAACATGATTTCCAGTATTAATAGATGAGTTACCAGAACCTTATTTGGTTCTAGGGGACCTGAATGCGCACAGCGGTTTATGGGGTGACTGTCGATGTGATGCACGAGGTCGTCTCATTGAACAGTTCCTCTTTTCATCAGGTGCTTGTCTGTTGAATAGAAAAGAGGCAACATATTATAACCTTGCAAACAATACTTACTCCTCCATAGACCTCAGTATCGCATCTCCTTCACTTGTACCATTACTTCAGTGAAAAGTCATAAATAATCCATACGGAAGTGACCATTTTCCTTTGCTTTTAAGTACACCAATAACATATGAATGTCCTCCACATGTTCCCAAATGGCTGGTGAACAAAGCCGACTGAGAACAATTTCAAAAGATTACACACTTAAGTTGGACCGACATATTCGGATTAGGCATAGATGAAGCTGTGCAG